GACGGAGCAGAGCCCGGGTTCCAGGCTGAGGACAGCAGAGGACCCGGAGTGGGCAGCGGGCCTGAAGCCCTGTCCAGGGCAGCAGAGTCTCGGCAAGGCCTCTGACAGAGCCTGGCTGCTCTGGGATCATGGGAGGGGTAACCCCTTCCTTCACCTTCACTTACTTTCCAATCACCACTGTTGACAAATTTAAGCCATCTATTAACCAAAGTTGTAAACACCAGGGATGTGTGTGTATATTTATATATATAAAATACACACATATGGAGTCCTTCAAAAAAGTTAAAAGAAAATGATAATCATGAAAAATTATATACGAATTTTAGCACGTTTCTTTATGAAAATAAGCACATAACCTGTTATCCATCAACTTTTTGAACTATCCTCATATCTATATTTACATATGCATGCTATATTCTTATATAAGTAATTAAACCACCACATACAGTTACTGGAAGAACAGTGCTTATAATGGGGCTGTCCTATGATTTTCAGCCGTGGACCATCGCCCCATACGGGGAAAGGTAGTCCCTGTATGAGTAACAGACTGTGAGCAGTCACTACTTCACTCAAGCACAAATGGAAGAAGGCGCTAAATCCATGTATTCAAGAAAAGCAAATTTTATTGAATATTTGTAAATAAAAATTATGCCAAAATATTTCTAATAATCAAAAGTGAAACGTTGAGGAAAGCTGAGGAACAGGCAGGGCAGTAGGAAATCTCTGAGGATCTTTTTTATTTTTTAAGGGTTTGCCACAGGGCGCTTGCTCTTCCCAGACTGTGACAAGGAGAGTGAGAAATCTCCGCCCCTCCCTCTGGGCTCCTCCCACTAGCATCGCCCAGGTCACCTGCCCTAGGGCCCCAAAGCTCAGTCCCACTCTCTCCTCCCTTCCCAACCTGGGGATGGCAAAGCCCCAACCCTCTCTCCCCAGTTTCCTGACAGGCCGCTGTGCCCCTCCCAGTGCCCAGCACCATTTTCAAGTGGGCAGGAAAAAACGGCAAGAGCAGTTTTCTACCTGGATTGGCCAGATCCCAGAACATCTTTTTATTATTATTATTTTTATTTCATTAATTCATTCATTTATTTTAATTTGACCAGAGAGAGACACAAAAAGAGACAGGGAGAGTGAGAAAGCAAGCCACTAGGTCCGTGACTCGATGTGCGGTCAGCCATGTCGTGTCCACCGCCTTGACCTCCAGGCCACCTGCTGGATCCCTGCCAACCTTAGAGGGCGAGGGGGGCCCAGCACAAAGAATCAGGGCGAATTGCACACAGGCTACAAAGCTTTCCGTAGCCAGAAGTGAAAGCGATCTAAGATTTTCAGTGAGTCACAAGACCTGACCAAGCATGGCCAGACTCTCTGCTGAAAACGGAGTGGGAATCTAGAAAACACAGAGTCGGCTTCCGCACTGGAAGAGAGGAGAGTGAATACACAATCCCCGATTTAGCATGAATGCGAGCAAGTCCATGCCCTGAGCTCCAACACTCCGAAAATGCCCATTTCTGCGCTCACGCGGTCGCGGGGAGGGGTCCCTGCACGGTGACAGCGCCCGCGGGTCCCAGCACCGCAGTCAGTCCCCAGGGTCTCCCGCCCCCGCACTGCGCCGCGCCCCGCCACGTTCTGTGCAAGTGACAGCGGGGATGAGCTGGAGCCCTCAAGAGCCTGAAAACGCGGCGTCTTCGCTAAGACTGGTTCGCTGAGCTTTCTCAGAGCACTACAGCGCCTGAGGCAGGGCAAGTTCAGACAATGAAAAGCTCCTTGCGCCTCCAGAGGGGAAGTCCAGTCCTGGCAGAGGCCAGGCGCCCTTCTGAGGGCACTGAGCATGATGCGTCTAAGATGACAACTTAAGGCACGCAAAGTTGCCTCACAGCACGTTTTGGCGTGTGGTGTGATGGTTAAGGTGCTGAACTTCCAACGGAGCGATCATGGTTCGAGTCCTGTACCTGGATGCGAAGAAGTCGCTGGGTCCCAGTGCCCGCGCGCCCTCTCGCGGCCATCAGTGGTCCGTCTCCACCTGCTAATGGTGATGCTCTGCCTCAACCCAGCCTACTCCCTGGGCTGGAGCATGCCTTCCAGTCTTCAAGGGGAAAGCAGGGAAACCTTGAGGAAGTTGAGACAACTACAAAACGTTCCTTCTGGGTCGTGCATCCATGACAGAATCAACTTCCGATTTCCTTGGAAACCACACCAATTCCACGAGACAGAAGCCACCTGTTTCTACCACCAGATGTTGGACCAGATCTTCAACCTCTTCCACACAGAGGACAGCCATGCTCCGTGGGGTGACCTCCTCCTCTCTCAGCTACTGGCCAGCCTTCATTACCAACAGACGGAGTTGGCGAAAGTCCAAAATCTGACTTGTCCCGACTTGGGAAATGTTGTCCGGAACTATTTCCGAAGAATCGCCTCCTACCTACAGAAAAAGAAATACAGCCCCTGTGCCTGGGAGCGTGTCAGGAGGGAAATTGAAGAGCGCCTGTTCCTCCTGGTCAGCGAGGCAGCAAGTGAAGAAAGTTAGGGCCGTGATCGTCTCCGACCCGTTTCATCGGTGTTTCCGAAGCCCCAAAGAACTCCCAACTCAGACGTCACATCTGAGGCCAGAATCGTGGGAGTCTTTTTCATACATATACTTGACCTTATGGATTTACAAAATGTCTTTGAAGAGAACATGATCTATTTTCTTAAATAAATTATGTCCCTTTAAATTTTAGCTTTCTATATAGCAGCTCCCTAGGGGTACCTTGGTTCGCTGTCCCTACAGATGAGTGGAAAGTGATCAGTCATGAAATCACTACACACACGCGGCCGTCCCGCACAGCAGATCCAGTGTGGGAATTCCTGATCAGATGCCTCCTGGGTTGGCCCAACTCTCAGCGGTGATTCAGGGACCTGAGTCCTTCCTTGTGTCTTTGTCCTCTCCAGCATGCAACTCCGAAGGGGGTGGTGCTGTTTGACTCTTCCACTCAACTGCAGGGGGAGAGGATAATGATTTCCCCGGGGACCTTATTTTTTTTTAATTTAAATTTATTTATGTGCATTCATTCACTGTACATCATTACAACATATAAAATGAGATTTTCCATCCAGAGTCCACTGTATATTGTCTCAATCAAGCACATCAACAATCATGTTACTGTCAGCAAATAACTTCCCATTTCTTGTTTTCTGTATGTTTTGCTTTTTTTCTCCCATCCTTGATTCCCTATCTCTTACCCTCTGCCATCTCCCACTCTCCTTCCACACTGTCTCTGGTATCTATGTTTGCTTTCTATACTGTTTCCCCCCCACATTTCCCACGGGACCTTTTAAGGAGGAAGACTGAAAAAGGCAAAAAACCACGTCTGTTCTCCTTTATCTGGCCTGGGTTTAATCTCGTGAGTTCCATCCTTGCTCAGAAGTTGCGACGGGGGTCTAATTGGATGACTAGGGGGAAGAGGAGATTTGCTCTTTGAAGAAGAACACTCTTTACATTCCACTATTGGTTCGAATGCTATTTTTGTGAGGAAAGAACCAAATACATGTTGTATAACCTTATTTTAAAGCAATGTCTCAAAGTCTCATTCTAAACTGTAAACTCAGAGACGACGACACGGTGCCATTCCTCAGAGCTCAGAGCCTCACAGTGTTTGAGAGAAGCTTTCGAGTTCATTCCCAAATGTGCAGAATGAAGGTGAAAAGGATCAAGGGTCCTAGAACACATCGTGTAGTGGAAGTGGTTTCCTTCTTACCTCAGGAGACAAGGCATGTGTAATCCATGAGGACCACTGAAGTAAGAATGAAGAATGAGTCTTCCATTGCTAATCTGGCCTTTCCCACCCCCCCCTCACTTAGGCATTTTCAGTATTAAAAATGTAAACTGGACACATATTCACATATAATCAAATCGTTGGTCTTTGCAGCATATACTTCACACAATCTTGAGTTATAACTGTCCTTGAAGATCCATGAAGAATTGATAAAGTATTTTTGATTCTCATTGAGAAAAATACTTCAAGAGAACGACCATTCCCAAGCCTATTAGGTCAGAATTTATGATAAGAAGGAACAACCAATAAAATTTTCTCAGCAGAAGTTAGACTGAGATATATCAAAAGCAAAAATGAGGGAACCAGCAGTTAGCGTAAGGGCTATGTCACTGGACTCCCACGTAGTCGACCGCGGTTCATGTCCCGGACCCGGTGGCTTAAAACTCATGCCGGGCACGTGTGCGTGCATGCCCAGGATCCCGAGAGGAGAATGGAGGTGAAGGGATTGTGGCGTGACCATCCCCCCTGGGTGGTGATTTCTCATTTTCTGTCTCTATGTCTCTCTCTGTCTGTCTGGCGAGCGCACGTGCCCTATAGTGAAAACCTCTCCAAAAAAAAAAAAGCAAAAATGAAAGTAGAGATATCCTTAGAGAAGTGCCTGGTGGACACCTCAGAGGGAACGTCCGTTCCCCATTGGCAGTATGAGTTAGCTGTTTGCAAGAAATGCACGTGCTATGGTTCCTAGGTGGCAAAGGAAAACCAGGAAATAGAGGTCGTGATGGGAAGAAGCAGGGCAAGACAGAAACTTAAATTTTTGTGCAAGGACATTAGATCTCTAAGGGCCAGGGAGAGGAGGGCCAGAAAGATACAAAGGTGGGATGGCCTTGTGCTGAGTTGTACTGATTTATGGAGCCTGAGGGCCTTGGCTGCACATGGTGGGGGCAGGAAGGTGACTATATAGTCTGGACTAGAGAAGCCCCATGGATGGTTCCTGCGTGGGTCACCCCTATTCATCACAGAGAGGACAAGAATATCTGGGCAATAACAGGGTTTTCAGTTTCTATTTTGCTAAATTTTTCCAAAACCATAATGACATTTTTTTCCTTCTTTTTAAATTTTTTTGTTAAAGATGCATGAACTTGCTGGAGAGAGACAAAGAGAGAGGGAAGGTGAGAACTCCCCCCTTGGGGGAAGGCACAGCCATGTCATGGTCTTTTCCTCCATTCTCCTTTCTGCACACATGCACATGTGCTTGGTGTGTTTTTTGGACTACCAGGTCTTGGACTCAAACCATGAAGTCGTCTATGTGGAATCCAGCTGCCTTAACCACCACGCCACCTGTTGGCCCCAAGTGACATATTAAAGCTTAAAAACACTATATAGAGGCAAAATGCAGGGAAAAAAAATCATCTCTATTGATGCCAACCGTAGAGAATGCTAGGCAACCACCCCAAGTATTGTGGTTGCTTCTGGTGTGAGAGCCAGACTCTCCCTGGTCAGTGATCCTTCAAAAGCCTTTGCAGCTTCCGTGTAGGACGTGCACGATGTTCTTCCCTCGAGGTCATACAGGTCTCCTTGGCACTGACAACTCAACCATTGGACAGGAGGGTAAACAGTAGGCATTCCTCACTGGGTTCTGTGGGTAGACAACACAAAGTCCAGTGGAGGCAGGAGGTGGGAAGCAGCCTGGTCATCCTTGGGAATGAAAAAGGCAGGCAGGCCTGAAGTGGGTCTCCCCTGGAATCAGTGAGGACCTGAAGGAAATGACTCAGAGCCCACATAGCTAGTCTGTTCTTCAAATGAAAATTTAAGTGCTTTTGTTTTTTCTAAAATTTACAAGAATATGAGTGAAGAATCAAGACTTCCAATAGTCTGCAGATAATGTTATAAATTTGCTTTAATATATTTTATTGAAACTACTCATTACATTTCAAACTGGTTTTTCTTTATTGGTAGAAAAACTACTGCCTTGGGGAACTAGCGGATGGTGTAATGGTTATGTCGCTGAACTCCCATGTAGTCAACTATGGTTTGAGTCCTGGACTCCAGTGGCTTAAACTCATGCTGGACGCATGTGCATGCATGCAGAAGATCCTGAGAGGAGAATGGAGGAGAAGGGATAGTGGTGTAGCCATCCCCCCTGGGGGGTGATTTCTTGCTTTCTGTCTCTCTGTCTCTGTCTTTCTGGTGAGTGCACATGTTCTATAGGAAAAAAGTCTCTGTCTTTCTGGTGAGTGCACATGTTCAAAAGAAAAAAAAAAAAAAAAAAAAAAAAAAAAACTCTCCCCCCAAATTACCGCCTTGTTATCACTTAAAGGCATTTTGTTAGGCTGGCTCCACGGCCTAGTGGTTAAGGCAGTCAGATTGCACATGGCCAATTTTGTGGTTTGGGTCCTGGACCTGGCAGCTTGGAAAAGCCCTGGGCATGTGTGGATGCCTGGCCAAAATCCCAAAAGGAGAGAGAAATGGAGGAGAAAGATTGCAGCAAGGTCATTCCCATGGTGACCCTTTTCCACTTTCTCTCACTCTCTCATTCTTTATCCCTCACTGTCTTTCTCTGACGAGTACATGTGCACTCTGGAAAAATTTTTAAGAAGGTATTTTGTCTACTCTTACTTAATACTTACAGTCAGTCAGTTCAACCCACTAAACCACACTGCCTATTGCCCAATGATAGAGAGCAACCCTTTGGCATTTGAAGTGGAACTCAGAATCTCATGTCGGCTCTTGTTCCACTTTCTGCTTTCATGCCTTGGTGTCTTCTCATATTGAAGTTCCCATGTCCCCATACAGCCCTTCATTCCTTCAATGGCCCCTTCCTAAATGTCAACTGTCTCCAAAGTTTTAACCTTAGATCTTTGGTCTATTTCTCACTTTTGTATTTCCCCCAAAAGAGTTACATAAACGAGTGTAATCAACATTGGTTTATTGAGAGGACTAATATTTTCAAGGATCTTAAAAAAAAAAACACAAGACTAATCCATGGTTTAGCAGGCCATAAATTCTGGTGTTCTTATTAATATCATTATTACTACTATCTAATTAGTAGGAGAATTTGGGGGGAGCATTGAATTCTCCTACCCTTAATTCTAGTTTTCTTAAATCACAAAGTGCTATGAGGCTGATTCACATGGAAAAGTTTTAGTTTTGAGTCTGGTGGCCTTTGTGAGTATGCAAGACACAAAATCTCTGTGATCTGGGGATGGCTTAGGCTGGGAATGGATGGTAACATTAAACACGGTTGAGGATGCTGACTCTGTCTCTGTCTCACTCTCTGTGTCTCCTAAAAGAACTACATAGATTAGCTTAATAAAAAAGAAAAAGAACAGATCACAAGTGGATTCAATGAAAAAAAAAAAGCCACGTGATTGGCTTGCAAATCTGAGGGCCATCTACTGACCCAAGAGTGCTCTTCCCTGAGGCTCTAGCACAAGTAGCCACTGTCCTGCATCTATGGACGTCTATGTTAATCTTAGTTTGGTAATTGTACTATGGTTATGTATGTATTTAATGTTAGGAGAAGCTGGATTAAAAATGTAGGAGAGGGACCAGCAGATGGTGTAATGGTTATGTCACTGAACTCCGATGTAGTCTACTGTGGTTCGAATCCCAGACCTGGTGGCTGGCTTAAAAAACTTACGCCGGACAAATGTGCATGCATGACCAAAATCCCAAGAGGAAAATAGAGGAGAACAAATTGCAGCATGATCATCCCCCTGGGGGAGGGGGTGATTTCTCCCTTTCTGTCTCTCTGTTTCTCTCTATCTCTCTGGCAGGTGCATGTGCCCTATAATACAAACATCTCCCTTAAA